GTCTGGGGCCCTTTGTCATCCAGGAATTCTTGTTGAAATCTTACTGCAGTTACTTTCATCTCTCTCTTTTTTTTTAAAGCATTTGTTTACTTCCATACTTGTAGGAAAATGGGGCAGGATGTACAGGATAAAAAGGTAGTCCCTTTTGGTGGCTGTTATAGAAAGATTTTTGGAATGAAGGAAGCTGGAGTAGGAAGTTACAAAGCTGTCTGTGTGAGGTTTCCAGACCGTCTCTCATTTTCTTGTCAGCCTTATTTTGAATGCCAATCTCACCTGGGATTGCAAACATCTTGCACCAGATAATGTCTTGTTGTGGGGGGCTGTTTGTACGTTGATGTTACTGTACCCTAACAAGCCACAAGAAGGGCTCCTCTCCCCAAGGATATTTTGTACTGATCAAAAATACCCTCAGGTGTTGCCCGGTGTTCCATGGTGATAGACTCTCCCCCAGTCGAGAACCATAGGCTTGGCTTACTAGAGGTGCATTTATGTAAAGCGTTTATCTAGAGAATTTTCACACAAATATTCTTTTCTGGCATCTTCCTCCTTTTTTAATATAAGGGAAGAGTGATCAAAAGAAAGTACCTATTCTACATGTTGTCTTATTTCTCAAACGTGAGTAAAATTGTTTTGACGTAAGGTGGAGATTACTAAAATTCACCATCAAAAGAAAGCTATTTCAATCAGTAATTGTGCAAAACCCCAACTTTTATGCAAGCTAGAAGAATTACAGTGTATGTGGTGTTAGTGGTGTCTTTCCAAGGTTTCAAACATCTGTCATCTATTTGTATTTTTCTGTTTAGATTTTTCTTTTTTTCTTTGCCATAAGACCTGTGCACTTACCAGGGAAAAGGAGAGAAAGAGAGAGGGGAAGAAACTTTTAATGGCACATGGTCGTGCTGCAATGCTTTTGCCCTGCATTTCTCCATCTCATCAGGATTTGGGCACGTATGCACACGCATCTGGTGGTTTCTCACGCTGCTGGGGCCAGGATTGAAGTGTAATTGGCCATGTGAGATCCAGCTCTCTTAACCATTGCAAAATGGGGCTGATCTTGTTTGTCTCTTTTCAACTTCTACCCTTAGGGCTCACGTTCATTTATGCATGTGGTGTATTTCTACTGATCTTCCCTGGAATTCTACTACTTGAGGCAAAGCAAATGCCTGGTTTATCTCAGTGAGTAGCTCATAGTATGACAAGAAAAATGCCAGAGCTTAGAGGACTGAAAGTGCTTTTTTGAAAAATAGCTATTTCTGCAGTTGAGCTGGGGAAAGCTGCATGCTCATGGTTAATATCAGGCCCATAGCATGTTAAGACAATTAGGGTCAATGCAGGGAGAGTCAGACCCTTTGATAAACTCAGGCACATCTGTCTGTGCTAAGTGGAAGCTTGCGGTCTGCAGTGCGTACACATGTGTCTCCTGCAGGAAGTAGATTAAACAGCCTTTGTTTAACAGGAAGGGCTTCGGTGATAGCCATGCAAGTTTAAGGCACCTTGGTTCAGAGCGAGGAATTAGCGCCAAGCATGGATGACAGCCTGATTGGCATGGACAGAACAGCCTTCTGTACAGGAGCTGAGAAGTGGAAGGTTCTATTTTGGTCTGATGTTCCATGGAGATTGTCTGGAGCGTGATTCTGAAAACTGAAGACAATCGAGCAGTAGGGAGGGGCAGCAAAGAAAGAGGAACTGCACAGATTTATCTGTCTGCAAACAAATATGGTCCAGTGCTTCAGAGTCTCTGAAGTCTCGCAGATACTAGGCAGCACATGGTCCTCTATTTGTTTGTTGATAAAACTTGGAGCCATGTGTGCCTTGTAAACTGTCTGCCTGCCAGGCTTACTGCCATGTGGCACATGCCCTGTTTTTGAGGCTCTGCTGGAGCAGGAGTGGAGGTCCGAACATCAAGTCTTAATTTCCAGTGAGATTTGATTGATAACATCCATCAAAATCTGTGTATGAGAAAAGTATGTCAGAGATTAAAAACCTCTGTTTTTGGGGCCAGCAGTTGGCGTAATGGTTGCGTTGTTGTACTCCCACGTTGTTGACTGTGGTTCCAGGCCAAGACCTGGTGGCTTAAACCTCACTCCAGTTGCATGTGGGTATGTGCCCAAAATCCCAAAGAATGGAGGAGAAGGGATTGCGGTGTAGCCATTCCTCTTGAGGGGTGACTTCTCACTTTCTGTCTTTCTGGCAAAGGGAGGTGCCCTATAGCAAAAATCTCTTAAAAACAAAGAGCCTCCATTTTTATATTTGTAAAGAAAAAGAATATTAATGTATCTTGCACTTGACTTTTACAACAAGATGACAGGATCAGTAAGTCTTAAATCGACTGGTTTTATAGATTTAAAATTTTTTCTCTACGAGAAACAAAAACATTGAGCTTTTGTGAAATTTGTCTGATGAGAAGTTATTTTTTTGCCAAGTTAAAGTTGTATTGCTTTTCCCTCTTTAACGGATAGATTAGTAGAGAGAGAGCACACATGTACCTTTGGAAATTTTTGAGTTGAAGACTCTTAACACACGTTAATGTATTTCATAAGGCAAGGTCAAGAAGGTTTTTCTTCCTCCTTTTACATCCCACGTGGACTTGAGTGAAGCCAAAGTGAATTTGTCTGATCCAAGTAAATAAAAAATAAATCTGAATGTAAACTTAGTAATGTATTTGTGCTGCCTGGAATCTCGTCATTGTCCACCTTGCTAATGGTCTATGGAATGTACTAGTTGCAAAGGTTTTCTCAGCTACAAAAGCGTTATTCGGATGTGGAAATTATTTAAAAAGCAAAGGTGATTTCAACCCTTGTCACAATAAGTTTTATTTACAGTGGCTCTGGAGATGGCTTATAGTTCCCTGTCTCGGAGGAGCCTCAGCCCTGCTCTGTGCTCCCTCATTCTATAAGGCTACCCAGCCTCCTATCCATCCTTCATTTTTTCAGATTTGGCCCTGCTCCCCCTCCTCTGGGGTGCTTCCTCAATGTCAGCCAGTGTGCTCAGTGCTGGGGACAAAGATGAGCAGTTTCTATACTCTGACTACTTCCTTGGCCACCTTTGAGCCTTATCTTCATCTTCTTTTTTTCTGTTAGTAAAGCTGATAATTGTTTCCTGGTAAGTAAATGGGGGCAAGAATGTCCAAAACAATAAAATTAATTCTGTCAGTGTCTGTTGTTAGGGAAGTCTCTTAAAATAAAAGGGAAGCCGGAATCGGAAGTTGCAAAACAGTGTTTGTGCGAGATTTAAAAAAAAAAAAAAGAAATCCCACTCAGCAGTGTTGTTGCATAAGCTTCTTAAGCTGGGGTTATTCAGAGAAGGTCCAGAAATGTGGGGGCAAGAGCATGTCCTCTCTCAATTGAGTTCCTGTTCCTGCCTTGATGGTGTGTTTCTTCAGCTTTCTTAAATTGTACCACTGTGAATTCCTGCCTCTCTGGCTTTCTGTGGTTACTAAATCCCACTACCCCTTTGTTGGTTTTCTACTGCTATGCAACAAACTACTTCAAACAGCTGTCTTATTTGCTCACTGATCTGGAGCTCAGCAGTTTGGGTTAGGCTCAGCTGGTTGGTTGTTCTGCTGTCCTTAGCTGGAGTTGCTCATGTGGTTGTGTCATCAGGTGGCTTGACTGGGGCTGGATGGTTTAAGATGGACACATTCACATGTTTAGTAATTGATGAATTCTTGTTTCTATTCCAAGTATGACACAGGAACCTGCAGCATTGATTTTTATCAGAGTTTGTAAGAACTGCAGTATTTTAGGTGTGACCCATTTCTGTTGAATCAGAATCTGAATTTAGCCTGATTCCCAGGGGATCTATATGTTCTATAATTTTGAACTCTTCAGAGAAAAGGGATTTCAATGTTTTCTTCCCCAGTACAGGGAAGCCTGTAGTGCACGCTTGTTGTGAATGCTCAGTAAGTAGGAAAGAAGGAAAATTGATGGGAGAAGTGGATATTACAAAATGTTTATAGTTTGCTATTGGCAAAAACAGACATTGCAGGTTTCAAGTAATGAAGATGGATAAGTTTTTGGTTGTGCTGCTTCTTACTGTGGTTTATTCCATTTTTTTAGCAATTAATTAATTCTAGTAACTATAAATAAATTAAAGCAATTAATCTATAATCTATAAAATATATATATTGGGACCAGGTAGTGGTAATACAATTGGACTAACATGGATAAGGGGCCTGGGTTTGTATCCTGGGGCCTCCCTGAACATGTCAGGTGTGAATGTTAATGTGCATGCATGTGTGCCCAGGATCCAGGCTAGCTAAGACTGAGGGTGAAACATGCTGTAGAGACCCTGTTGGATGTAACTTTCAGTCTCTCTCTCACAGGAGGAATAGGCTTTTTAAAAATTTAATGTATTTTAAATTTCAGTGTATACATTATAAATTATGGTCTGAGTGTGGGCTGTTGTAACAAAACACCATTGATAAATTGGCTTACAGAGCGGTCATTTATTTCTCACAGTTTCGAGGTTAGATTCCCACCATCTGTGTTGGCCCACTCAGGTCTCTGGTGAGGGCTCTTTGTCTGCCTTGCAGACATCCTCCTTATTGCTGTGTCATCATTTATTGGGAGGAGAGAGAGCGAGAACTCTGGTATCTCTCCCCTCTTATAAGAAAACCAATCCCATTATGGGGATCCTACCCTTATGACCTTATCTAAGCCTAGTTACCTTCCCAAGCCCCACCTCCAAATACCATCACATTGGAATTTAGAGCTTTAATATAAGAATTTAGAGGGGGTGAAATAGGCATTCAGTTCCCAGCAATAACATATTATAAAATATAATAAATTGGGAAAGTATAATATAAAATAATAACAGTAACAACAATAAAAATTGCCATTTCTTGAGTTGATTATGGAGCTTGTACTTGAAGGACTAATAATGTATGTACGTGTCATGAGCTTGATTCCATGCCCCCCTCACACAGAGGTGGCTCTTAGCAGTTGCTACAAACACAGAGAGCACGTTGACCCACATTTTCTTCTGATTGCGTCTGACAGGGCACAGCCTCTGCAGTGAGCAGGGCAGTAGTGCTGACACGGCTCCAGAGGACACCGAAGGGCCTGACTTGGAATCCTCAGATGAGACTGATCACAGTAGCAAGGTGAGAGATTTTCATTTTCACATCCCATGTCTTGAACCACCAATGGATCACAGCCAACATGCCACCTTTGCAGCTGGATGTGGTTAGAGGGACTCTCCAAGGGATGAAGTGTTTCTCTGTCTGTGATGTTGCTAAGTAGCAGGATATGAAATCCAAACTACTGCCTTGATAACAAATCCACATGTGAGAATATAGGGCAGAAATCACTTGTAATGAAATAAAATCCTTTTTCTCTAATTTCTGCCTCTGTGGGAGCTCCCAGTCAATGCCATACTTTCTTCTTATTTCCTTCTAATATCTTCATTCGTGTAGGAAGAAACAGCATCCACAATGTACATGACTGAGGCAGCCATGTTTAATTGCTACTTAGGGTTTCTGGAGGGGCTTTTGAATTACATATTTGTGTTCTGCTCTTTATTTTCTCATCTGCAAAATCAAAATGAATCTTGTCTTTGCCCTGTGATTGGATTATTAGGTGGGTAAATAATATAAGCACATTGATAATGGAAATATGTGATTCAAACATGAATTATTATTTTGAAAACTTACATTTTCCATGTTTCCTGTTTTGCCTCCCTTATATTGAGTCATCGGAAAAATCATGACACATTTTTGCATAGAAAAAAAAGAGAAAAATACTTCATGACTTTTCAGACAACCCAATATTTATATACTTTTGTAGGACCTGTCTTGGGTGCACGTCTTGGACTGTCTTCAACATCTCTTTCACCCAGATAGGCTTGTTATTCTCCATGTCTTTTGATGTTTGGGCACAATATAAATTTTAATATTTGAAAGTAATATTGGCAAGCCCTGTGGCATAGTGGCTAATGGATCTGGATCCCACATGGCCAACTATAGTTCGAGTTGTGGCTTCAGTGTCTTTGGGAGCACACCAGACATGTGTACCCCAATTCCTGATAGGATGGAAAAATGGAGAAGAAGGGATTGTAGTGTGACCATGCCCTATTTGGAGCATGCTTTCTCCCTCTTTCTCTTTCTCTCTGGCGAGTGCACATGCCCTCTGACAGCTTAATCAAACAAAAAGCAATACAATAAAGAGAAAATAATGTTAATTATAGTCATGTTGTAGATGGAAAGGCATGATGTTGTTGGGTAATTAAATTTCAGATCATTGGAAATGCGTATGTTTTATTTAAAGCCAACAAAACAAACCTGCTTGATGTTGCTTTTTATTTGTGTGGCTATTTATTACTTTACCTCTCTTTTTGGGGGGAAGGAGGTCAGTTACCTTCAAGAGAAATATTAGTGCTATACTGATGTACAATATTTTGAATGGTATTTATTATGTTATTTTCTTATAGGAACTATTGAATAAAATCAATTTCTAATTGAGTTTAGGAAACAAACTTTTCCTGTATTTAAAATATTTATTTTTGAGTACTTTTTACCCTGGGTCATTTTTACCTCACTGTAATAGCCCAGTGTTCTCATTTCCCTGTGGATTTTGAAAGAAACTGTTTCCATTTTCAATATAATAAGTCATGGAGGCCTAACTAGAATCCTCTCTAATATAAGGTTCTGGCAGTAGAGAGGAAGGAATAATACGTCTTAGGGTTTTGTTGACTGATACCAGTGTCCTTCCAACTTCCTGGCTCCTCCAGAGAATAAGACTCTAGAACTCATCTTGAATAGAGAGGGTCAAACGTAGGAATAGGTGAGGCTGTTACTGCATTTCCCTGTAGAAAGTCACAATTTTCTTTTTTTCTTTTTCTCTTTTTGGAGAGATTTTCACTGTAGGGCGTGTGCGCTCGCCAGACAGACAGAGAGAGACATAGAGACAGAAAGTGAGAAATCACCCCCCGGGGGGATGGTCACGCCGCAATCCCTTCTCCTCCATTCTCCTCTCGGGATCTTGGGCACGCACGCACACGCGTCTGGCGTGGAATTTAAGCTGGGTCCGGGACGCGAACCGTGGTCGACTACATGGGAGTCCAGTGACATAGCCATTATGCTAACTGCTGGTTCCCTAGAAAGTCACAGTTTTAAAAAAGTTTTAAATTTTCTTTCTCTTTTTTCTTTTCTTTTTTTGGAGAGGTTTTTCACTATAGGGCACGTGCGCTCGCCAGACAGACAGAGAGAGACATAGAGACAGAAAGCGAGAAATCACCCCCCAGGGGATATGGTCACGCCGCAATTCCTTCTCCTCCATTCTCCTCTCGGGATCTTGGGCACGCACGCACACGCGCCTGGCGTGAGTTTTAAGCCACCGGGTCCGGGACGCGAACCGCGATCGACTACATGGGAGTCCAGCGACATAGCCATTACGAGGGAAAGTGAGAAATCACCTTCCAGGGGGCTGGCCACACAGCAATTCCTTCTCTCAGGATTTTGGACATGTTCGCAAATACAGGTGCCCGGCATGTTTCTGAAACCACCAGGTCTGGGACTCGAACCCTTTGTTGGCCATGTGGGATCCAGTGCCATAACTACCATGTCATGGGCTGGTCCCACTGTGGGCTTTCTCTTTTTATTTTAATTTTATTTATTATTATTATATTTTTAAAATTTTTGCTACAGGGCACATGCACTCACCAGAGACAGAGAGAGAAAGAGAGAGTGAGAAAGCAAGCCACCAGGTTCAGGCCTTAAACTACGATTAGCCATGTGGGAATCCAGCATCCCAACCACCATATCACCTGCTGGCCCCCACAATGGGCTTTCTTAAAAGAAGAAAAACTTTCTTAAAATTATCAACAGTGTGTTAGGTAATAATCTGAATATTTTTAAAGATCATACAGAAGCTCACATTCACACCACAGGTACACACTCCTTTTTGCTAAGTTGGATGTAGGGAACACTATGTAATTCTTTACCTAAAGGCACTTCCTAATTTCGGTTTAACTTAAATTTTATCATCTGAGACTTTAAAAAAATTTTCTTTTGCTCCGTCAGAGGGCATTTGCGTTTATCAGAGAGAGTGAGAAAGAAGAGAGAGAAAACATCTCACAACAAGGCATGGTCATGCCACAATCTTCTGCAAGTCTTCAGCCTATCAGGGTTTTGTACATACATGCACATATGCCTAATGTGTTTTTCAAACTGCTGGAGCTAGTATTCAAACCATGGTCAGACATGAGTGATCTGGCTTCCAATGTATAACCCTAACCACTGTCCTATCGGGCTGGCCCCAGATTTTATCTTTTTCATTTGAAATATTTTGTTATGTCATCCAAGTTAGTTAACTACAATAGCTTTTGATGAAATACATTTCTCAGGATATTTGAAAGCAAACATTTTGAATTGGAAAAGCAGCTCTTCATGAATGGATCCTACTGTGTATTATTAATAATAAATGAGAAATAATGCTTATTTACTATTTTATATAGATTAGACACTTTTTTATGTCTGCTCATCTTATCCTCACAACTATCTTACCATTTTTCCCTGTTGTATAGATGAGGATACAGGAACAGAGAGGTTAAGTGATTTGCTGACGGTCACACTGTTCTGTGAAGAGAAACCAGGATGCAAACCCAGTCTAGCTCCAGGCCTTGTGTCGTCACTGGTTATGCTAAAAATTTCCTCTGGTCAGATCGTTAAGGTCTGGTATTAAATACCAGGATTCACAAAAAAAGAGATTAAGTTACTAGGGGTGCTATAGGTCAGTAAAATAAGTAGTTATTGACCACTTAATATTTTTCCAATGCTTAATCTTTCTGGGTATATTTCTTTCATGATTTAAATGAAGAGCAAAGAGTTATCGTAAGTTTCTTGATTTAAGATAAAATATTTTCTTTTTTTTTTTTTGGAAGAGAGTTTTGCTATAGGACAGGTGCACTCGCCAGAGACAGAGAGACAGAAATACAGAAAGCAAGAAATCACCCCAAGGGGGAATGGCCATGCTGCAATCCCTTCTCCTCCATTTTCCTCTCGGGATTTTGGGCACACACACACACACACACACACATACACACACACATGCCTGGTGTGAGTTCCAAGTTGCTAGGTCAGGATCTCACCTGTGGTCGACTATGTGGGAGTTCAGTGACCTAACCATTACACCATCTGCTGGTCCCAAGATTAAATATTTTCTAATGTATTGCCTATTAAATATTTTCTAATGCTTCACCTATGCCAATGTGTAAGTTTTTCTTGAGAAAACTGATCATTAGTTTTTAAATTGTAACCTTGTTGAATGCAGCAGAGTGGGTGTAGAAATGTAAATGTAAATAAATATTGAGAAAAAAATCATTTTTATCTTCCAGTTGAGTATGTGAAGGTAGTTGATGCTGTGTGGTGTTTTGTTGGGGTTCCTAAATGCACTGTTTCACAAAATCCTGGGCAGGATCAAGAGAAAGCATATTGGAGTTCTGCGTGTTTCTAGATTTTTTTTTTCTAAATAGCAGTGTTTGCTATGCATGGCCTTTTGAAGCAGAGCAAGTAGATCATTGTGTGCTTGTTGTTGAGTGGAGGGGGCCCTGGAATGTCACAGCCACGGGTGGGGGAGGGACTGTCACACCGCAGGGGCAGTCTAGCAGTCTTTCTCTTTGTGAGCCGCCTCCTTCCTCTGGTGACTGTGGGTGACAACCTCATCACCACTGGCTCCTTGTTCCCTGCTTCTGATCAAAACTCTTGTTTCTGGAAATGAATGCTAATTAGCCCTGGCTGAAGAGTCACGTGTCATGCATTCCAGGACCCCTGGCAGCTGTGATTTTGTTTTGCATTTAACAAATGTATTAAAATGACATTTCCATTCAGAACTTCTTTTTTCTTTTAAATCCACATTGTTACTGTCTTGGAAATGTCTGCTTTTATAACAAAGCATTATTGGAAAATGTGAAACTGTAAATTGGTAGATTAAAAAAAAAAATGTTCTGTAGTGCCTGCCCCTGATCCGGGGAGGAGTGCACTTCCAAGTTGTCCTCCCTGGGCAGGTTTAATATTCGCATGCAGCGGCGGGATGCTGACCAATCAGCTGATTGCGGGCTGCCAGGCAGAGCCGCTCGCATCCCAGGGAGGTTTTCTGTGCTTTGTGT